TGGCAATTGGAATGTCTTCTACAAATACTGATTTGTGTGTGTGCACACAAATTCAGGGCCTTGGGTAGGCTAAGCAAAGCAATTTACCACTAAGCTCAAACCACCTGGAGAGATTTTCCTAGAGGACAAGAGAGTTTCCCTGGTTTAGCATCTTTGCATCACAGGCAAGAGGACAAAGGTCTGGGGTGAAGGGTAGCATCTGGCTGGGTCAAGAGCCCTGAGAGCAGGTGGCTAGGAAGGACAGTAGACTTCCCCAGGGAGTAAAAGGACTGAAACTTGATTTACGTTTCCTAGAGTGGACATTGTTGTTGCCCCATAACACTCACTGAGCATCAGAGAACTCCAGTGCCCGTACCTGCTCAGAGCACAGGTGGCTTCATGGGAAGCTGGAAACAAGAGGCCACAAGCTGCAGGATGAGGGAGGTAACCAGATGGAGAGTTATACAGAGTCCCAGACAGCCCAGGGTGGTGATGGTCTCCCTGCTGTTTGAGGAGGAAGTTTGGAAGGTGGGAAGATCCAGGGACAGTGAGGCTCTGGGCATTTGGGGACATACAGACCAGTGATCACACTCAGACACAATCCCACTCAGCCAGGAGACATGAGAGGCAAAGCATGATAATGCAGAACTATTGCCGGGGGGGGGGTGCTCAACAGTAGAGTCCCAGCCTGGAATCCCCCAGGGAGGGGCTGGGGGTGTGACTGGGTAGAACACTGGACTAGCATGCTCATGGTCTTGGGTTCATCCTCGGTAAGACAAGGGGGAAAAAAGGCTATGCAGAGAGCAGGTGTGGATAAGTGAAAGCTTGGCCTGAGAATCAGGAAACCTGGATCTAGCCATTCTGCCCGCTGTGCTCTTGGCCCACTGTGGCAAAAGCAAGGCCCTTTTTCTTTCTGTGCTTTACTTTCTTCAGCTGATCAATGGGAGGTCAAGACAGATGTGTGACTCAGATACTAGGATGATGGAACACATCAAAGACTTCACACAAATGCTCACAGAAGGCCTTGATGTACACAGCTGCTCACTCAATCACACACACATGTCCCACTAGGGTCTCTAGCTACATAAAGCTGACCACAAACCAAAGCACAAAGATGTATACAGAGACACAACCACACAGGGTCCAGTCAGATGACCATAAAGAGAAGAGCTGGGGGTGTAGTGGACTGTGACCTCCAGGCCAGCCTGATCAACATAGCCAGCTCCATCCCAGCCAGTGCTACATAGTGAGACCCTGTCTTAAAAAAAAGATTCTGCCAGGCATGGTGGTGCATGCCTTTAATCCCAGCACTCGGGAGGCAGAGGCAGGCAGATCTCTGTGAGTTCAAGGCCAGCCTGGTCTACATAGTGAGTTCCAGGACAGCTGGGGCTATAGGGAGACCCTGTCTCAAAAAGACCAAAAAAAAAAAAAAAAAAAGGATTCCACTGGGTGTGGTGGCACGTCTTAAATTCCAGCACTCTGGAGGCAGAGGCAGGTCCAGAGCAAGTTCCAGACCAGCTGGGGCTACAGGGAGACCCTGTCTCAAAAAAACAAACAAACTAGACCAACCAACAAAGAATAAAAACTGAAAACAATTTCATAAATTTTTAAAAAATTTAAAAATTTTGAAGATAATAGCCACATGCAAAGATCTATATACATAATACTGCCACAATACTGCACAGATGAACAGAATACAAGCTTACAATTAATTACATAGACAAGGGATCATCAAAACTGGGCTGGGGTTGTAGTTCAGTGATTTCAGTGATGAGTGCCTGCCTAGCATGTGCAAGGTGCTAAATGTGATTCCCCAGCATGGAAGGAAGGGAGGAAGGAAAGAAGGGGTCATGAACACTTTTAGTTACACAGAGAGCTGTGTACTAACTACCCACTGAGCTACCCATAGTCAGACCAAAAACCACAGTCACAAACCAAGCATTAGGGTTGAGGCTGTAGCTCAATGCTAGAGTGTTTGTCTAGCATTTGTGAAGCCCTAGGTTCAATCCAAAGTGTTGGTGGACAAGAAAGGAGGGCTGGGCAGATGGCTCAATGGGTAAAGATGCTTCCTTCCAAAGCTGATGAGGCAGAGCCAATCCCCAGGACTCATATAGTAGAAGGAGAGAACCAAACTCCTTTGACCTCCATGCACATGGCTTGGTATGCAAATGTGTGTGCACACAGTATACAAATGTAATTTTTTTTAAAGAAAATCATTGACTTGAGGTTACCTTGATAATTCAAGCACTTCTAATCACTCATACAGAGGACCAGATACAGACACTGATCATCACAGATGGAATCATGTATTCACAGACACACTGTAGAATATGAAGACACAAGCTAGGGATATAGGTTAGTGGGTACAGTACTTGCCTGCCATTTGTAAGGTCCTAGATTCTACCCCCAGTAACCTTCCAAGAAGAAATGAAAAAAAAAAAGAAAAGAAAAGAAAGAAGAAAATTGTTGCTAGGGAGGCACAGGTCTAGGTACTCTGAAGGTAAAGGCATGAGGATCAAAAGTTTGAAGCCAGATTGGGCCACAGAGTAAATTCAAGGCTAGCCTGAGCAATTCAGTGAGACGCTGATTCAAAATGAAAACAAATAAAAAGAAGGGCTCGGTAGCCTGGTGTGGTGGCACAGGCCTTTAATCCCAGCACTCAGGAGACAAAGGCAGGTGGATCACTGTGAGTTCAAGGCCTGGTCTACATAGTGAGATCAGGTCAGCTGGGACTACAGGGAGACCCTGTCTCAAAAAGACAAAAAAAAAAAAAAAAAAAGAGTCCATATGTATAGATAAAGGCTACATAACAAGCAACAATGCCAGATAGGAGGATACCTCCTTTTGAGTTGTTGGCCAGGTTGGCCCAAGGGATTCCCAGATAGTAACCCAGCACAGAACTGGAAAAATGAACAGCAGACCCCAATCTTATCCAAAGGACTATTGACAACTGATTACCACTATATGAGGAACAGCTGACCTTCCTAAAACAAAGACCTCTAGATAGGCTGACTAGATTCACCAGATGGACAAGTAGTGGGGAATGGTTGGGGATGCCGACAACACAGTGGACAGTAGCAGGGATAACAGAGTATAAGGCTATGGGAGGGTGCCATATGGGAAGTGGGTATATAGTTGAATAAGATGGTTTGGGATGTTCTGTGTGATGTATACACACACACACACACACAAAAAAAAAAACAAATTTAAAAAAAATTATATTTGAGGAGGAAACATAAAAATTTACATCCTGTTAATTAGTAGAGGTGATAAACATTACCACTGAAATGTACTGGATGACTTTATAGACATACATAGTTGCCAAGGATCTGAGTGCAACCGATTATGACTAGTAATAATAAGATACATACAGATTAGATATGCATGTGCCAACATCTCGGTGTTATTAGCAAAAACAATGAGTCTTTCTATAAGAAACAGTATATTTTAAAATGAAGTGGAGATCTTTTTTAAAGGTTAAAAACTCATTCAATGTTATGTCTTATAATAGGCTTATATGAGTTCACTATTGTGTAACTGTATTAATTCAACAGCGAACCTAAGAATTTTATAGCCACTTTAGAAAGATATGTCTCTTTGCTCTGACCTCTTCTGACATCCACAGGCATTCCAGGACCTGGGTGCGCTTGTGTACATGCAGACAATACACTCATACATATAAGTAAAAAATAATAAAATTTAAAAATTAAAAAATTAAAAAGAAGAGGACAGGGTTTCAGTTCCCAGCATCCACATAGTGGCTCAAAACTGGCTCTAACTTCAGTTCTAGAGAATCTGACTTTCTTTTCTGGCCTCCATGGGCATTGCACAACATAAGTGAGCTTACACCCATACAGGCAAAACACCCATACACACAATATAACAATAAATAAAAAATTTTAAAATAAAACTAAAGTGAAAAGAGAACTGGGGGCACATGGCTCAGTTCAGAGGGGGAGCATTTGTCCTAGCATGGCACCCTAGGGTCAATCCCTAGCCCTGCCAAAAAAACAAAACCCCAAACAACAAAAACCCCATACATACTTGTACAGACCTGTTACATGCTCTCACCTACAGTACAAGAGAAGACAGTGTCAGGAGTGCCTAGCACTGGAGAGGCAGAAGCTAGTTGATCTCTGTGAGATGGAGGCCAACTTGGTCTACATAGCAAATTCCAAGTCAGTTGGGGCTACAGGGAGACCCTTTCTCAAAAAACAAAAACAAAACAAAACAAAAGACGATACAATTAATCATACAACATTCTAGAAACGCAATCCCACAAAACTGAGCATTACCCCAGTGGAAATAACCACATCCATTTACAGCATCACACACATTCCAGATTATCCCACCCCCACACACGTAAACACTCACAAAATCCAGGAAGCAGGAGAACCACAAAGACAGTCTCCAAAAAGTTAGCACAGCCTGTAAAGAAACGCACCCCTAGTCCCAGCACTCGGGAGGCAGAGACAGGCGATCTCTGTGAGTTCAACGCCAGCCTGGTCTACAAGCGAGAAAGAAAAGAAGGAAGAAAGAGAGGGAGGGAGGGCAGTTACTGTGGCACAAAAGATCACACCCACCCACAGAGTTATCACACAGTCACTAGCTGGAATAGACTAGCAGAGAGGCTGGGCTGGGCTCACCCACTCGCAGCCCACCTTCCCCTCTACGACTATCCCATTAAGACTTCTCACGATCTGGCCCCCAGGGTTCCTTTCCTTGTGCCTCAGTTTCCTTATTGAACTTTAGGATTCCTTTCCTCATGCCCCCTGAAACTGGCCAACCAGGAATGGGCCGAGCACCGGCTAGGGCCAATCAATCAGAGCCGGAGTGCAGTTGGCCAACTGGGTTGGCGCGCTCGTCCTCCAGGTTCTGCTCCTTAAATGAGCTACACTTCCTGGCCCTGGACGAGCCCCCTCCAGCGACGGGGCTGCATGTCCCTTTTAAAACGCAGAGCCACGGAGGGGCGGCTTCCGGGAGGAACCAATGAGAAAGTCCCACTCGGTCTCCGCTCCACCCACCTCTGGCTGAGGCCTAGCGAGCTGGACTGTGGCCCCTGAGCGGCGGGGACGCCTGGGCACCTCTGGGCCTTGATGCCCGCACTCCTCTCGGCGGCCGTGGCTGAGATGCTGGCCGGCTGCATGGCCCTGAGAGGGATCTCTGCGCCGCTGCTGTGCCGAGGGCCCGGCCTGCGCCTTCTGCGTGGGTGGGGCTCGGCGGCCGCGCACACTGGTCAGTGCGGGGCCCCCGATGGGGCAGGGCAGGGGGGCACTAGGGGCCGGGACACTTTCTCAGGGTGACTTTCTTGTCCTGTGTTTGCAGAGAAGGGTAGAAAAACACAGAGCCGATCGGCCAAACGTAAGGACCCCACCTCCCATTCCCCGCCCCTACCGTCCAGCTGTTTGCCTGAATCTCTGAATGCAGGGCCTGCCGCGAGGGGAAGTCAGGCTGTGCCCAGGGTCAAAGTAGCGGATGTTTGTCCATGCGGAGCCGGAGAAGGGTCACCTTTGTTACTCATTTGTTGCCGGCGACCACAGAGAGCAAGATGACGGGAATGGATACAGCTTAGAGGTCTGGGAGGGGAGGGCGCTGGACTGAGCTGAGTTCACTCTCCATGTCCCACCCAGCCTGTCGTCCTGAGTTTGACTGGAAGGACCCACTGTTGCTGGAGGAGCAGCTGACTGCCGATGAGAAACTCATCAGGAATACGTTCCGCAACTACTGCCAGGAGCGGCTCATGCCTCGCATTCTGCTGGCCAATCGCAATGAAGGTGCCAAGCTGGGAGGGTGGGAACCCTGGGCTCCCCACCACACATACCCATTGCTGTGCACTCACTCTAGTTCTGTCCCTGGAATCTGCGACTTCCAGCAAGCTAGGACAGGGCCTGACTCTGGCGTCTGTCCCTTTACAGTTTTTCACCGGGATATCCTATATGAGATGGGGGAGTTGGGCGTGCTGGGACCCACCATTAAAGGTAAGGCCATTTCTGTGTATACTCTGCAGCCTCCCCTCAGTGTCCTGAATCACTTCCCTTTACCGTGAGCCAAAGCGTCCCATCTGTAAAATGGGGGTGGTTATCCCTCCTGAAGCAGCTGTAGAGATTATCAAAGTTCCAGCCAGCTCAGCCCCTGCCAACTTCTGGAGGGCACCATTCTAGCTCCTCAGTCCCTGGTCCCAGCCCTACTCCTTTCCTACTACACTAGGGTATGGCTGTGCTGGGGTGTCATCTGTGGCCTATGGGCTCCTAACCCGAGAGCTGGAGAGGGTGGACAGTGCCTACAGGTCAGTGATGAGCGTCCAGTCCTCCCTGGTCATGCATCCCATCTACACCTACGGCAGTGAGGAGCAGCGGCAGAAGTACCTGCCTCGGCTTGGTGAGCCTGTGGGGCCTGGCAGAAGATTGTGGTCTATAAATCCCACTGTCCCTGCAACCTACCCACTTTCCTCCAAACCACCTGTGCCCCTGCCTGGCCCTGGGGCTCAGCTGCCAACCATGAGTCCTTGCCAGCTCTGTCATCTTCTCTCCCTCTTCCCAACCCCCTCTTGACTTTACCTCTCTGGCTATCATCTCCCTTTGGATTTGTTTCCTGTGCTCCACATCCCAGTTCAAAGTTTAAAGTCTTAACTCCCTCTCTAGGTCCATGAGGCACACGAGCAGATCGGTGGGACCTTTCCTTTCTATCTTTGGTCACTTTTTTTTTGAGACAGGGCCTCTGGCTGCCTGGCACTATATAGACCAGGCCAACCATGAACTCATTTGCCTCCCAGTGGTAGGACTAAAGGTGTGGGTCACCATGCCTGGTCCTCTGGCCACTTATTTTTTTTCAGACAGAGTCTCACTATGTGTCCCTGGCTGGCCTGGAACTCACGGAGGTCCACTGTCTCTGGCTACTCTTTATTGCTCTTCCCTGCCTGGCTCAGCTATTTGGGATTCTCTAAACATAGCACTGTGGGACTGTTATGCCCACACTTTCAGCTAAACTTCTCAGTGTCCTTCAAGACAGATCAACTCCTTCCTGACTTCCCTCCCATCATTACATTTTGATTGTGGCCAAGATCATTTCCTCAGCTCCTGGAGGGTCCTGCCAACAGGGCTGGAGTTGCCTTGATCACAGGCCTGGCTTGGTGGAGAAGCTGATCATTTTTGAGGGGATAAAGGACCTGGCAGCCTTGTGACCATCTTATACTTGCAGCCAAAGGTGAACTTCTGGGCTGCTTTGGCCTCACAGAGCCCAACCATGGGAGTGACCCTGGTGGCATGGAGACCAGAGCCCGTCATAACCCATCGAACAAGAGCTACACACTTAGTGGGACCAAGACCTGGTGAGGGGCCTGGGCTGTGGCACATGACAAGATGGGTTGGGAGGCAACAGCCAGACCCCTGCCTTGCTGACTGTCCTGCCCCCAGGATCACCAACTCGCCTGTGGCTGACTTGTTCATAGTGTGGGCTCGGTGTGAAGATAATTGTATTCGGGGCTTCCTGATGGAGAAAGGGATGCGGGGTCTCTCAGCCCCTAGGATTGAGGGCAAGTTCTCTCTGCGGGCCTCGGCCACTGGCATGATCATCATGGATAGTGTGGAGGTGCCTGAGGAGAATGTGCTGCCCAATGTGTCCAGCCTGGCGGTATGTAGTGGACACTTTAAATTGGTGTTGGGTCACCTGGTGGCTCACCTTTCTCAAGTGGGGACCAAACATACATAATCCCTGGGCTTCAGGCTTCTGGCTCATAGATGTGCTAACTGCACCTCTAGATGACCATCTTCCTCATGCTGGCTCTGTCCAAGATGCATGTGGGGCCTGGTCTAGTTTCCAGTCTGTATGTGGGGGCAACTTCCTGTCTTGTCAGGATCCTGGATCTGAGCCCCCTGTGATTTAAAATAGCTCTATAGCCCCCCCCCAACATCTGGTAGATGGGTTCCACTTTTTCATAGTTGGTTCTTCTCAGGCTCTCAGCTGACTTGAGGTCCCTTGTCAACCCTACAGGGTCCCTTTGGCTGCCTCAACACTGCCCGGTATGGCATCACCTGGGGTGTTTTGGGAGCTGCAGAGTTCTGTTTGCACACAGCCCGGCAGTACACCCTGGACAGGTGTGTAGGAGCTCCTGCAACACCTCTTGGGGGTGTATGTGGACAGTCTTGGGCCCACCTTGTACCGCAACAGTGATTTCCCTAGCCCCCACTCATGAGGTCTAAGTTCTACCCCCTGTGAAATGGCCTGGATGTCCCAAGCAGTGAAAAGTTGAGCTAACAGGGCCAACATGAGCTGAGCGCACTGAGGCACCCTGGGAAGGCTCCTGGGAACCACAGGTCCCTGACCTGACCTTGCCTGTTTTAGGATCCAGTTTGGTGTCCCCTTGGCCAGGAACCAGCTGGTCCAGAAGAAACTGGCAGATATGCTCACTGAGATCACACTGGGCCTCCATGCCTGTCTGCAGCTTGGCCGCTTGAAGGATCAGGACAAGTAGGGGCCATGCAAGAGAGGGAATATGGGGAAAACCTGGGGCCCTTCCTAAAAAGGTCCTTCCCAGCCAGTGGCCCTAGGGACCCAAGCTTCCTTGCCTCTGGGCTGGACCAGGGATATCCTTGTCAGCCAGGAATCTTCCCTAGCCTGTGCTGGGTGTGTTCAGGGCATGGGGGACCTAGTGTTTACAGCATATGTGATACCCCCAGGGCCACCCCAGAAATGGTCTCACTGCTGAAGAGGAATAACTGTGGCAAAGCCCTGGACATTGCTCGCCAGGCACGAGATATCCTTGGGGGAAACGGGATTTCTGATGAATATCATGTGATCCGCCATGCTATGAATCTGGAGGCTGTGAACACTTATGAAGGTGAGAGCTTGACCCTAAACTGGATGAGGGGTGTCAGACAGCAATGAGGAGGGATAGCACTTGAGTACTCCAGCTATCACCAAGGAGCTGCCAAGTCATGCCCTGTCCTTCACCTGGAGTTACTCACAGGGACGGTGTGAGTGAAATGCTTCAAGCACTTAGAGGTCAGGAATGTGAGCCTGTGGGTACTTCCCACTCCTCTCATTGTGCTGGGGCAGGAAGGGTCCAAAGACCAGGGCACCCAGAGAGAGCTGTGATTCCTGGGGGCTGGCAGATGTGAACAGAGAGAAGCAGCACATGGCCATCGCTCCCCTACTTCATGTTCAGATAAAGTGGAAGGCAAAGCTCTTTGTATCTCACAGCTGGTTGTGACTCACAAGGGCTTGCACCCCTGGCTTGGTGGGAAGACAGGCTTGGAAAAAGACAGCTGTGAAAAATTATTTAAAAGCGGGGAGGGGGCACCATGAGAACCTGAGATCAAGTCCCTAGAACCCATGTAAAGCCAGTACCCCCAGTGCTTCTAGGTGAGTTGGGAGGCTCTCACACCAGCTAGCCTGGCATACACACCAGTGAACAACAAAAAAAGACTGTCTCAAAATGGAAGGCAAGGACTGACACCCAAGGCTGTCCTAACACGTGTGTTGTCACACATGTGCATCTGCACACATATCCTATAAATACATATTTTTAAAAATCCAATGTGATCCATGTAGAAATGAGGACACTAGCTTCAGGGACAGAAAGCAGTATGATGTGGGACGTCTTCCCTACCTGCCCCAGTGACTAAGGAATTGAGCCGAAGAAGTCTCAGAGCCTTAAATGTTTACCTCAGGCCACTCGGTGGAACATTCCAGAAACAGGGAGAGGGAGGGGTAGGATCCTATAGTATATGACCTGAGCCAGCAGAAGGGCCTTCTCAAGATTTTTATCCAGTTGTGAGATGGGTTCAACTTAGGCTTTTTTAAATAAATGCTATCATTTGACTGTGTAAAAGAGAGAAACCATGGTTTCTGTGGTTGCCCCTGAAGCTGGTGGGGAGCAAAGGACCATGTTTTCACATAGTTATCAGTCTCCCTGACTCTGGAAGGAAATGTGACCAGGGTGAAAAAGCAAATATTTAATCAACTGCAGGTATGTTGCCAGGTGAATTTACTAAAGCAGAGTCTGCCAGGGGCTAACCTTGCTGCACTTTGGGGGTTAGGCACAAGGAATGCTCAGTTACAGAACTATAAAAAACAATCTCAACATGGTCCAAACAGTGACCTCTTCTCTTGGCGGCCATCATTAAGATGTGAACCTCTCAGCAGCAGTCAGCACTCACCATCTTTGTAGTTCTGCTCTGAAGTGGGAACCTGGGGGGATATGATTTGTTACTTTAAAAGGAGGTTATGAGCTGAAGACTCCAAACTAACTCTAATATTCATCGTCTACAGGTACACATGACATTCACGCTCTGATCCTTGGGAGAGGAATCACAGGGATTCAGGCGTTCACAGTTGGCAAGTAAACTCACTTCAGCAGAGGGCCTAGAGACTCTGAGGCCCTCCACAGAAAAGTTCGGCTGGACCCATTGTGCTCTGAGTTTACTCAGGAGGTGACAGAGAGACCCAGCTTTGATGCTGGGAAGACACCGATTTTAAAATACAGTAATTTCAGCCAGGCTTGGTGGCACATACCTTTAATCCCAGCACTCAGGAGGCAGAGGCAGGCGGATCTCTGTGGGTTCAAGGCCAGTCTGGTCTACATAGAGTGCCAGGACAGCTGGGGCTACAGGGAGATACTGTCTCAAAAAGACGGAAAAAAAAATTTTCCTTTTGGAAGCCATTCAGATATGCTCTGAGAAAGAAAATGGAGTTCTCTATAAGGTGCCCCTCAGCCCATTTTTAATTGTGGATGAGATCAGATGCCATCGACCTAAAATCAGGAGCTTCTTAAGCCTGGTATAACAAGGCAAGGACAGTGACGCAGAAGCCACTGCAGTGAGACAGAGCAGACTGTGAACACGTGCACTGGAGTTCACTGAGTTCACTGTGTACCCTCCCACTTCCATCCCAAGGACAGTGCCTTATGTATGCTGGACAGCACAGCAGATAAGGGAGAAGAAAATAAAGAGCCTGCACCTCACTCCTGGGTTGGGCCAGGTTTACTGGTAACCATGGAGAGGTAACTTGGGGAGTTTCCCCCAGGAGAGATGAACATGCCTGGGGGCTCTGCCTCACTGGGATAGGGGAGGGACTCTGATCTGGACATTCTGATTGGCAAGGAGTACTTTGTCCTTTTCTTCATGACACAGCTGCTCACATAGCAATGACATGGACAACTGGGCTTCTCAGTCCAGACACAACCATGTGACTGGGGACCCCAAAGAAGGTAACTGAGCACAAAGGGCTTTGCAGAGATGGTGGCCTAATGGGCTGGGACCAGCAGTAGGGATCTGGACATTGTTTCCTAGGGTTGGGGTGGGGCTCAGTGGCAGAGCACTGAGGCATGTGCAGGGCCCTGGGTTCCATCCCCAACACTGCAAAAGAGAAAAAAATGTCTTAGTTGGGCACGATGGCACACATCTTTAATTCCAGCACTCAGGGAGGCAAAGGTGAGATCAGGCCAGTCTGGCCTGTATAGGGAGTTGCAGACCAGCTAGGGCTTACAGGGAAACCCTGTTTTAAAACAAAAACAGAAGTCTGGTTCCTGTCCACATTTACTCTCTGTTGAGCTATCATGTCTCCTTCCTCATGGGACACCTCTCTACACTTGCAAGTGTCACTCCTACCTCAGCCTGCACACACAGGTCCTTGTACACTGTCTCCACAGTATGGCAGACTTGTTTGAGCTCCATTTCTAGGTGGCTGATCTTTGCCATCTTCTGGGTGAATTCTTGGAGTCTTTCCTGAATGATCTTGCTGTGGTGGCTGTACACCTGGTACATCCTCTCTTCTAACTTCTCTGTCAGATCTGAGACCTTGCAAAAAGTGTTCATGGAAAGTCGGTGTCATCACCAGAAATCTATTCATTCTAAGTAGAGCTCTACAATTTCTACAATCAGATTAAAAGGATACCAGGAGGGGCTGGAGAGATAGCTCAGTGGTTAAGAGCACTGGCTGCTCTTGTAGAGGACCTGGGTTCGATTCCCAGTACCCACCTGGCAGCTAACAACTGTTCATAACTCCATTTCCAGGGGATCCAATGCCCTCTTCTGACCTCTAAGGGGGCATTGCACAACACAGGTGCACTTATCTACATGCAGGCAAAACACTCATACACATAAAAAAAATAAATAAGAGGGTATGAGGAGACAGGGTGTAGTTTCTTATGCCTTGCAGCCTTTTACCCTAGCACTCAAGGTAGAGGATCTCTGTGAGTACAGCCTGTTATGTAGGGAATTCTAGGCTGGTCAGGGCTATGTGATGAGACCCTATCTTAAAAACGAACAGGGACATAGGCCCTTCCTTCCCTTTTATATAAAGAATGTTTCCTCTCCCTCTGGAGGATGGTCACCTTGATCTTGAGGCTGTCCCTGAAGCTGGTCATGAGGGTGTGGTCCTTTTGCCTGCTCTCATTGATGTTTTCAATCAGTTCCTGGGCTTTCTTCTTCAGGATTTCAATGCTGGAGTCCAGAGAAGAGAAGGGTCCTGGCTTCCCTTCCAGTGTGGGCTGCTGGCAGTTGGCACTGAGGTGGCAATACAAGAGCTAAACTCTGATTTGTCAAAATACTGAAATCAGTACCACATTCTCTGAAGAACGACTGATCTAAGCTGCAGTGGTAGTGTGCTTAACATGCACAGGCCTTGGGTTCCATCTCCAGCGTGCAAGAGCATATGCGTGCACACGCTCGCTCACTCGCGCTCTCTCTCTCTCTCTGTCTGATTTGAATAACTACACCGGATAAGGACTGCCTGGGTCACTGCCTTTGTGGGTGACAATTTTCCTGTTATTCACACCTTGAGACATGGGGACAGCCTCCCACATTTCATAAAACTAAATATCCCTGTAGTTCCAGAACAAGATCTGTGCAACCCAAATCTCACCATTGTTCTATTACACAAACTGGCTTCTCTGAAATAAGCACTTCCAATACCAAAATCTGAAATTGAAATTCCAAAATCAGAGGCCTTTTGAGCTAGAGTTTAGGATTTTGGAGCATTTTGGATTGGAGAGTTTCAGATTAGGATGTTCTTGGCAAACATTAAACTAAAAAAAAAAAAAAAAAAAAAAAAAATTTTAAAATTTGAGGGCCTCCTTTCCTTATCTTTT